CAGGAATGCAGTCACAGACAAAATTCGATATACAATCCACTCTCGAACGTCGCCATTCCTCCCCCGAGTTTCGTGCCAATTGGCTCCTGCTGCCTTCCAGGGCTATATATCCGTTAACTCGCACTGTCTTCCCAACAGCTACGATATCTGCAAACGCTGAGCAGCATATCCGCGGAGAAGAACTCGACCATCATATTTCCGTTACCTGTCGAATTTCTCACTCCGTTCTTTACCAACAACTGTCACTCAAACGGCAGTCAAGAGGCCGTTCAAACGTCGTCGGAACAGCTATGCACGAAGCAGTTGAAGGTTCAACCCGACATCCACACGGAGGGCCCCGACGCGTCACAGTGACGAGGTAGAGACATGTCAGACTTGAATTATCCTTAACAGATTTCGAGGAACCCCGGGACGGAACGTCGGGATTAATCGCGTGACCTTTGATCCAATCTATCGGCAAGCAGATACCGATTGGAAACCGATATACGCGTACTCGGAACTCGACGCATTTGCCGATCGTCAAAGCGTGCCAGCCCTTGGGTAAACAGCGCGTTTTCCTCTGCGGAGCAGACGTCTGACTCCAAGTGACGCGTTTCCGCGTGCAGCAGCGACCCGCTCGACAAATATATAAGTAAACTCGTAATTCGGCTCCGGGACCAGCTTCTCGTTTGACTTTCGCCATTCTACGGGCTGGAAAGAAAATACACGCAGAGGAAACAGCCGGCGGAGATGCAAACGACCTCGATGACGAAGCACCGCGAGGAGATGCGGGTATTGGGAAAAATACGTTTACGCGAATCGGGAAATTAATAGTGACGTATGAACTCGCATCGAGTTGTTGCCTCGCGCCGAGTCGTATATTAAGCTGGTATATTAAAGTTCGTAGAGAGGAATAGAAGGGATCGAGGCTGTTCCTTTGGATACAGGGACTGGGAATCGAGGCTCGAGATGGAACTGCTGCACGAGCGATCGCGGGGACCAGGGAGAACGGCACGATGCGTAAATAAATACGCATCGATTGGAATTCAGAGATGCGTGCGGAAGATTGAACGAGCCTCTGGAGAGAGTTTTCGCGTCACGTTTCAGGCGTTACAGCGTGCCGTGAAAGCGCGTGCCCTTCCGTCGTCGCGTGCTCCAGAAGCTGGAACTCGGGCTAAAGTGGAACGTACGTGCCGCATCGGGCTGCTCTTTATGAAACGATGTAAAACGGAAATTGCGCGACGCGGTACATTGAAATTTACGTATCGAATGATAACGCTGCTCCTCTAATTTCGAGCGCCAGGCGAGCGTCCAGGCAGCGGAATGGAGGATGTTCGTCGAGTGGAAACGAAATAGGCTTCTCCGGTATTCGGAGCGGCTGCGCGAGACCGGCAGACCACTTAAATTGCCTGGTAGCGATAAAAATAATTAAATTCGTTTCGCCGATGTCAAAAACAACCGCTCGGCCGGCTGGGAACATTAAACGGTGCGCGAACAAGAAATGAACAGAAAGTATAAATTTCAATTTTATTACACCGGCTCGTACAGGGGAGAGGATATGTTTCCTTCCGGTTTTAACAGAAAAAAATATCTCGCGCGTAATGTATGTAGAATGTTTTATAAACAACGGCGGAGCTTTAACGCGGACTATTATTTACGCGGGAAATTCTTCCGTGAATTATGACGCTTGTTAACCGTGCCACGACACGCGAGTCCAGCCGGGATTAAAGAGCCCTCGCAGTTGCGTGGAAACTCGCAGGAAGCACTCCGTTAAAAAAGTAATTCATTGCTAACGGCGAGGGGGTGAGATTATCGCGTCGGCTAGGAACCCGATAAACGACTGCCCGAAGATCCCCGGGCGCGTAGACGAAGCAATTAGAAGACGGCTTTTAAGGAACGCCGCCGGTTATACGCGCGCATATCCGCCGCGAGTCGCGAAAACGATTAATCGTGCAACCGTCAAGGTAATTCCCGAAAGCGGGCTAACTTTTGCGGTCCGTGCCTCGTATTTGGAACGAACTAATATTGAAGATCGTAATTAATAAACAGACTAGCCCGCAGGATATTAATTCCTTCGACTCAAATATTTGCCGGCGAAATTAATTCGTACGCTCCACAGCGAAATGTCACACGGACACGCGTAATCCAACCAAAGAGATAACCATCGGGATACACGGCAATTACGCTTATAACCGACAGCGACGTTCCTCCGCTTGTTTCGTCCGCGCGTGTTCTTCCACGAGATAAACGATCCTCCGTGCCCTAAGCCGACTATCTACCCGCCTTTTCCCGCAGAGTCTTCTAAACGCCACGATTCCGTGCTCGCCAGCTTTAATTATAACCCGTTCTAAACGATTCCGATCTTTTCCGCCGTAATGTCTTCCGCGGCAAGAAATCGCCTACGAATTAACACGTAAACCCCGCTTTATCTCGATACTTTGCCCGTCGAGTGCAAGGTATTAAAACGAAAATACGTTTACCGTTTCGTCGAGTTATCCGTTCGTCCATCGCGAATTCCCGGTGAGCAGCTTCCGCGGAAATTTCGCGTTACGATCGCGGTCACCGCGACCACCGTCATTCCAGGCTAATTAACACGGGACAGTATCCTATGAAAAAGCTACCGGGCTACCGTTGCTCTCGCAAACGTAGAATCGCGTACTCGCGTAACGCGGATACGTCTAGCCCGATGACACGCGAAGGTTCGCGACGCGACGGGAAAGCGGAAACGCGCTGGCAAAGCACGAAATCCGCTTACGAGCGAACGCCCTTTCAGCGACTCGCGTGCCAGGGATGCCTCTGCTGGCCGAAGCACGCGACCCAAGTTTCTCGCAAGAACCTCGCCCGAAGAAATTCGATCGCGATCGTTACGTACCTGCAAACCGAATATCGCGGCATTAAACAACGTCGTTTCCGCTGAGGAATTTCCCTGAAAGCCGAGCAACTGACCGTCCATCGTGGGAGCTCGGTCGATCGCGTATACCCGACAAAGCGGACGCGAAATCGATCCACGTCGACGATCGTGCAAACGAGGCCGCGAGAGGAAAAACGCGAGGGGACGAGCGGAAACGCAGCGGGAAAATAGTTGACCAGTCGACGACGATAGATTAATCGTTAGGAAGGCGAACTCTGCGAATTAACGGTGATGTCGAAGAACGGGTGTACAAACGGTAACGCTTGAGCGGTGGTGGTTTAAGCGCGAGCAGGGGGGTGAGAATATGGGAATCCGGTGACAATGGGAAAAGAAATTAACGAGGTCGGTATGCAAAAAGACAACGTTATCATACATTAAAGAGAAATTCCGCGAGACTGGACGCTTTTGAAAGCTCGCGCCGGATATTCAGCGTTGAAACGGGAAGGGGTCAAGCTTGGAATACCGCTTTCAACGTAAATCAGCGATAGTATGCGTTGAACGAATCCGATAACTTTCATCGCGGCTATCACGGACTCGAATCCCAGCAGCCGAAGAGAACGGGAACAGCTTGTTTTTCGCGTTACTTCCGGAGACGAGGAATCTCCGGCGATTCAACGAGCGAACAATAAAGGCAGCCAGCGCGCAGCATTGTCGTCGGCTCGGAGACGGGATTCACGACTCGCCTCTTTAATGCCCCGTAATTTCTTGGACGATAATTAGCAACCGCTTGCACCTCGGCCGGCGTCGACGTCGGCTTACGGTTGCAATTAAAAATTTTTTAATTCCGCCGAACCCCCGACCGCCCCCTCCCGCGTGCCGCCGACCAGCACGCGCAACCTGCCTACCTGCCGTCACCCTCTTTTTCGCGGTATTATGCCCGTGGCGAGTCAGCCGAGCTAACTTTTCATGCCGTTCTTCAGCCGTACTTATTTCGCATGAACTCGAGGCGAACTTTCGCACCCTGTCCCGTCGCCCATGGCTCTCTCCGCGCTAATTTCTGCGCCAGAAAATTAACCGTAACGCTCCCCCTGGACCAACATGGTCTCTCGTCTTCGATCGCGTTCCATCTCGTCGATTCGCGACAGATCTCGTTTTTCGAGATTAATTTATTCGACCCGTGTAGTCCCCGAATTTTAAGCACTCCACTCGCGAGGGAAGAAAGAAGGTGACTTGCGCGTACGCGCTATTATCCCGGTGTGCGTCCTCCAAAAATTCAGATACCGCGGAATAATTGCGTCGCGCGAAATTAAGGGACGATCACGTTCATCCGCGCTTATCCCCCGGCGAAGACGTGACTGGCTAAATAAATAGGAGGCTGTTGCCGCGTCGGGACGCGCAACAAGCTCGTCTATTCGATCGTTAATCAGATTATTCGCTACGATCTAACCACCGGTTTCCCAGCTCCTTGCCGCACAGACCCTACGCGCGCGGCAACTTCGGAGTCGTTGCGAGAATACAGGCTCGGTCTTCGATCCACGTCCCAGTTCCGATGTTCCGCGAGTTGTTCCAAGAGGCTGCCGTGGTATCCGGGCAAAGTTTCGCGCCGAAAGCGTAAAGTCGGGAATTCGGCTGTTCGCCGCGGCGATTGTCCGCGGACAAGCTCTTCGGGATGTTCCGGTAACGTTCGTACGACCTCGATCCGAGATCCGAGCGAGACGCGGCGTCGAATATTCCGCTGGTTAACCTGTCTCGAAGCTTCGAAAGACAGTTGGTTCGTTATGATTCGCTCGATTGCCTCTGGGGTGCTAGGTTCGAGCAGGGTTAAACAGATTTTCCCGTGGATCTTTGCCAGTCAGACTACTCGATCTCTGCGTGGAAACTCGCAAGTGGCGAATCGTCGGGGATGAAATGGTTGTTTCGCTTATTCGACAGGCAGACGCGGAGGAACCGGAAGACAGGAGGGGGAAAGGGGTGGAAGATGGAAGGCTGGTCGGGTGTATTAGCGGTGCCGATGAACGACAAATGCCGGTTCGTTGGAGCTGCCTCGGCGAAACCGGGGAACAAATAAGCGGACGTTGCCAATTTATCCGTGGAAAGGGACGATTAATGTTTCATCGGACAGAGACTTAGCTTCACGGGGATTTTTCGCGCATCCCTGTAGACGCGAGCTCGCACGAGCTCGCAATCTTTCTCTCGCGGGTGCCGTCCACGTGCCGAGAAATACTTCTCCATCCAGAGCGGCGCATTCTCCACCTACAAAATAATTTCTCGAAGGGATAGTCTGGAAATGGGTGAGTTATGTTGTCTGGAGTTTTATGTTTCCAGACTCGACGAGCGCTCGTCGCTCTGCCCCACTAGTTTCCGAACTTCGCGGATGCCATGAAGCGAGGAAGAAACGTGACCGAGGCTTCGCACGGAGCTGCAACGAACGACGGGAAAACGTACCGGCGTGTCTGTTTTTCCCAACATCCGCGAACAACTGCGATCTGGCCAATTAAAAGTTAGCAACGGATGTGTCCGTCGC